TACCAACCGCGGACCACAACAAATCTATTGACATTAGTGTATCTCCTTCAGACCTCCACCACTTCTTATTAATTCATTTTTTTTAATTAATTATAATTATTTTGACTTAATGTAACAACTTTATGTATTTATGAATGTTTTTAAAAAAAAAGGTATTTCGGTAGTATACCCAGATTTAAAGAAGTTCGAAGTACCGATAGTAGTTAAGATATTAATTCCAATGATTCGCCTTTAGTAACTAAAAAATCGAATCATGTACTTGCTGAAAGTGAAACCTCTTTGACCTATAATCTACATAAACAACACGCTGATTTCATCCTAGTGTTCAAGACGAGGTATGGCGTAGTTACCTTCAAAAAGGGTCGTTTAAACCTCAGGATCATGATTTCCTTTTTAAAGTAATTGCTGTTAAAAACGTAAGTTTGTTTCAAGTTGATTTGATGAGCACAAATGGTTGGAATATAGTATTGTCAAAGATGCAACATTTTGAAATAGGTGGGAAGTTGGTGGTCATTATTTTTTGGGAATAGGATTTTTAGCATGGAATAAAAAAGACAGGTTTTATGTACATGTTGAAAACATTAACTATGAAACGTATGCTTCTTGATATTTTTCTTCAATTTTATATTATTAATAGTTATATTAATTTAGGGACCCCGTGACTCTAATTTTCTGGGTCCGCCATTGTCTATAAACCACAGCTATTTCTGTTGAACCATAAAGGCATCAAACTACCATCCCATTTTCAAGGTCTGTGATTAGATGCCTAAAATTATGAGTCGATCTTGAGCAGCTTGTGAGAGTTGTACTTTCTCTGTCACCTGATTTTGTTACATTTTATTTTTTTCGCTCATTCCATAAAATTTGTTTTATATCATGCTCCCCCGTTCCATTGGACTTTGTCAACTTTCACTTTTTAGTTGTTCCAAAAAATTTTGCCACTTTCCCATTAAAGCAACTAATTTGTGGTTCTGTACATTTCTCTCTCCTCTGCACAAATCTCAACCACATAATTTTTACTATTCTTATTTCTCACATACTTTGCACTTGACAAAGTCCACCGGGACGAAGGGAGTATTTGGTAATATTTGTGTGGTTACAATTTATTCTCACCTTATTTATAGTTTATCAATTCAATATCGAGAAGAGTGCAACCAATGGAAGTAAGTTCTTTTTCGAAGTAAAAGGTACATGTTTCTCTTGGCAACAAACGTGTGTAGGAGGATCACAAAACAAAACCAAAACCACTTCGTACCAGCGGGCGCCCGATCGAACCAGCGAGGGGTTCATTCTTGTCTTAACGATATCAAAAAACATACAAGTGTTTATTAAACACTGCACAGCACTAAGCATAAAAAGAGGGTACAGTGTTAGATATTCCCTCAATTTCACATCTCAAGTGACAAGATAATTACGCATCCACGTCGTAAAAAACATTCTCGACCGTAGTGGTATACCCAACACAATACAATACAGAAACAAAAAAATCGAGTCGGCTCCATTTCTTAATTCCGAATGTGTGTGTATGATTATTGATATATCTCTTCTGCTTAGTCACGATTGTTGTATCCTATATATATATATATATATATATATATTACCCAAAATGGGACTAAAAAAGTTTGGAAATTCCAAAATAGGACTTTCATGTTTTTATTCCCGAAATAGGATTAATTACTGTCATGTTTTGACAGTACCAGACTTCAAACATGTCAGTATTTTCCAAATTTAGCAGTAATTAGTCATATTTTGGGAATAAAAACATGACAGTCCTATTTTGGAATTTTCAAACTTTTTTAGTCTCATTTCGGGAACTTTCCAATGCACATACTACTTAAATAGGGAAAAGGGGCAAATAAGCCCTCGAACTAATCAAAAAAGTGCAAATAAGCCCTTTTGTAGGAGGTTCCGTCCGGTCATCGTCATTTGGGGAGAAAAAAATATGGATTTTTTTGATGAAATTTTTTGAGCATCTTATTCAGTAAGTCTAGTTTAGTCCTACTGAATTTCAGCTAAAAATTCAACCGGGAAGACAGTCAAATGAATTTTTGAAGATAACTGCGCAGTTAAACAACGCAGTATATTTCCGAAAATCATTTGAGTGCCTTCCCGGTTGAATTTTTAGCTGAAATTCGATATGGTTAAACTAGACTTAATGAAGAAGATGCTCAAAAAAATTCATCAAAAAATTCCACCGAGAACCTCCCCAAATGACGATGATCGGACAGAACCTCCTACAAAAGGGCTTATTTGCACTTTTTTGATTAGTTCGAGGGCTTATTTGCCCCTTTTCCCTACTTAAATATGATAAGTTCATCATTTTTTCATTTTCATTTTCCTACGGTGGGATAATGGGGGTCGGATGTACGCAGTCTTACCCCTGTACTAAAGCACATAGAGACAATTTCCGGAGATATGATAAGTTCAAACAGACATATTTATTAATAAATACTAATTAATCACAAGGATACCAATTTCATTATCAACATTTATCACTACTAGAAAAAAGACTTATAGTGACTTTTATGGTGACACTTTCAGATATAATATTACTAGTGACATAAAAAATAGTAGTATCAAACCATGACACTTATGGGCCAGGTATGCATGAGCAAATCGATTTTTTTTGTCTACGCACCTCATTTTCCACATAATAAAATATCCTCTTCGACATCCTCTTGCAGAAGAATCATCCAAGAGAATGAACCCTCACTCCAGATCGATCGATTGAGGCCGCCCGACCGCCTTACTCATTCCCTCACCAGGTCTTCTATTTCTGTAATTGCTCGTCTCCTTCGTCGGTCACGCTTGTTCTCTTATGCTTGAACCTTCTAAAAAAACTGATTCTAGGCGTAAATTATGGTACCGGGAGTACTTCTGCACTTTCACCAAACACTCCAACTTCTGCTTTTTCTCCTGGCATGCCTTTGCCTTGGCCATTGCCACGATGACTTTGCCTTGACCATTCTTGACACTCACAATGTGCCCAAGGACAGCCACGCCCCGTGTGGAAGAAGTATTTACTTGCTATTAAAAACAAGTGGAAGAAGTATTTACTTGATAGGTGATGCAACTCGGATTGGTGTAGTGGGTTAGTCAGTCGGAAGATGATGAAACTTGGATTGAGTGCAGCAGTTCCACCAACAGTTCCCTTACTTCAACCTTGGGGGCAAGGTTATTTTAGAGGGGGAGGAAATTGTTAGAGAACGGGAGGCAGTTGGGCCGATGCTCCAGGAGGGGGCAACTGGGCCACTACTTCAAGAGGATGGGCCTCACCCATTATTGGTATACCGTCGCCGCCAGCAGGCCTAGATGGGCCAGGTTGACTGCTGGGTTTTATTACTCTATTTCTAATAAACTGCTGGGCCTAGATGGTCATATTTTATTATTAGGTTATTGGGCCTAGATGGCCATATTTTATTATTAGGTTAAGGAGTATTTAAGGAGGTCTTGTGAACTATTATTGATTATGAAGAATAAATATTTTGGTTTGAGCCTAAGGTTGGAGAGACGTTAATATCGTCTGCTAGGGTTTTTCTGCTTCTATCAGATACCCATATTCTCACCAGGGATTTGCTGTGGGACATGTTTTATAATGCTAAAACAACAGCTGGAAGAACATTTGCTCAAGGAATTGTTGAATCTTCCTGTGGACATTCTAAAACCATTTGCTGGAACCAAAGGTCTCATCACACTTAATTCGTGGATATTGGTATGTTGTTCCTTCCCACCAACGATTTCCACTTCACTTTTTGGATATTGCACCATGACAAAAAAAAAATCACTAATTTGATATTTTGATTTGTTCTCTTCTACAGGATTCACTAGGAAAAGATGGGACCAAGTACACACAATATAAAAGTGGTGCGGCTGACTCGAAATCAGATGTTGAACCATCAAGCTCTCAAGGTTCGGTAGGAAGGAAAAAAACTACAGTTGTTGGAAGCCAGAATTTCCCATTGCCTGATGAGGAAAAGAATGCTATTGCTGCCGCAGAAGCAGCTCGTACTGCTGCTCGTGCAGCCGCCGATGTTTGTCTTTGTTATCTCCCTTTGGTACATTTATAAGCGCTTACTGAATAAGTAATTAAATTAAACAATTGTTACTGACATCTGAAAGTGGCTATAAAGCCGTTTTAGCACCCAGTGGACTTAGAACCTTTGTATTGGAGCAGTTTGCTCTAGCGGCAATAGCAGGCGCAGGGCGCTAAAAATCTAAAATGCTATAGTGAGCACTTGGCTTTTCTATTCTCAAATTTGGTACTACCTCCGTCCCCTAAGTTTGAGATAAGAGAAAGTGGTACAGTTATTAATAAAAGTGAGTTTATGTGGTTGATATTAAATTGATAAAGTAAGAATAAAGTAAGAATGCTTTAGAACCACATAAATTTTACCAAATAAGATATGTGACAATATTAGTGGGACAGATCCAAAAAGTAAAATGAGACAATTATAGCGGGCGTCACAGCTTTAGGGAGGCTCATCCCCACATTTGCCTCGTGGCGAATGTGAAGACTTACTCCTCTAGGAGTGGACCGTCAAGTAGTCCAACCCCTCGGCTTAGCCTCTATCTCCCCCCCGCCTTCAATGCTAAAGGGGAAGACGAAATGTCGTGGGGTGTGAGGACTTATAAAGTCGCCTCAACCCAATACTCGGGAGCCGCGTTGGGCTACTATCCCAGCTTGTTTTGTGAGGAAGGAACAAGGACTTATATTGATGCCCCGACTTCTCTCTTTGGGAGCCACGTGGGGCTATTGTCCCTGTTTAATGGTGGAGGGCTTACAAAGTGGCCTCAGAGATCGGGAGCCGTCGAGGCTGTTGTTCCCGAAGAATGGAGGGCTTGCAGAGTGGCCTCAGATTTTTATCGTAGACCGAAGAGTCCCTTGCTCGCGAGGTCTTTACAAAGTTGCCCCAGTTTTTTGGAGCTCAGCTGAGGAGCGCGTGTCACGCCCCGGACCTACCGGACACGTCAACAACCCGCCGTACAGTACGAATAGTCAACCGCAGTTCAACTCATCCATAGTATACTAGACGTCTTGAATATCATTCACACATAGTACATCCATAAACAAACATAATGTAAAATATTCATTCAAAGCAGCGGAAACATTAATAAAGTGTTTATGCCACACTTTGGCAAACATGGCATACAAGCCCCCAAATAATTATTCAAAAATAATATCCATGAGCAATTAACACAATTGTTTTGAAAACGGAAATAGAGGAAGCACGAACCACGTCTCCTCTCTTAGAACTCCCCGATGCAACGGCGATAGTAGCAAGCTTCAACTCCTACCTGAAACTGTGAGGTGGCCTCCCCCGTGAAGGGGAGGTCAGTACTTGGAAGCATTTGACAAGTACAATGACAACTATACTAAGTATAATCAACGTTTTAATTTCTAAGACCCTAAAAATAGGGTGATATCATAATATAAATAATAATTTATATTTCCCACTTATTATCTCTATAATAAGTAAATTCATTTATTTGTCGGCACACGACCCATCTTATATATCCCTTTTTAGTTATCATTTGCACAACCCAACCCGTGGGTCTTATTATTTCTACGGGACTTGCTACCGCTGTCCGAGACCTCATGAGGCTCTCGGTTCGGACTTCAACATCCCGCCCCTGGACTCATACCCATCATCCCTTAGGAAGGTAAGGCCCTTCGGGGTCCTATCTTATGTGTTACCGCTACCGGAGCCTAGTTAGGTCTCCGATTCGGATTCCACCCTAACCCGTGATCACGATGCAAGTCCATGCTATCCAACCCCGCTCTCTAGAGTCGGGAAGGGCCATGCTCCTTACCTATTTACCAAGATTCTACCGGCTATCCTCAAGGACTACCGAAATACACCCGTAGGCCAATCCTACATCTAGGATCAATTTATTATTCACCTTACCTTGGGTATCCCTTAAGGCCTACCCCTAGTATAACTTAAAGTCCATATTTATCCACCTTAGCATCTCTTAAGACTACTTAAGGCTCCATATTTCACAATCCAAACCTTGGATCAATTCTAGCATTTTCTTATTCCAATATCTCGACTAGTATCTGTTAGTGCAATTATTTGGCAATATATTTTGCATTAAAGAGAGTTGATCACAAAAGTTAAAGAGGCTTAATGATGGCTGTTGTAACGGATTTGTGTTTATTGCTGGAGTTATCAACGATATTAAGGCTGGAGGTTACTTATTTTTGAGCTGGCCAACATTGATGACGAGTTGCGAAACCGACGACGGGTCGGAACCGTTACGTCAAACCGCCAAAACAGACAAATTGAGTCATTGAAGCGTCAAGAATATCATTTTTAAATATTGTAACGTTTTTTGTACATTATTAGGCTCCTTAATGTGATTAAGGAGGGTATTAAATGTGTTTGACTAGCCTTTATGACGGATTTGAATTCGTCGGTACGTAACGGATGGCCAATCCGTCAATAACGGAAAAAACCATCATTAGAGCTTTAATTGTTTTTCCTATAAATAGAATAGCCTCATTGTAATCAAGGCAGCTGAAACATTCGGATAACACACAAGTTTTCATTCTTATTCACTCTCTTGTCATCTCCTTCTCTATTCTTGTTCGAAGCCCTTTCTTTATATAAATTCCTTTTTAATTAGTTTTAGCTTATCAATATTTTGCTTAAACAATTTGGCGCCCACCGTGGGGCATCGTGCAAGAAAGAGTTTAGATATGGCAGGAACAAATCAATTGTTGATTGAATTCCATCAACAATTGGAGACAGTCCGAGAGGAGATTCGGCGTGAGATGGCAGAGAGGATGGCCCTTCTTCAACGGGAGAACGATGTACTTCGGTCCCAGGTACAATCCGCAGTGTCAATAGCCTCGAATTCAAGGCCCAACCGGAGAACTGACCTTATGAATGCTGCCACAAGGTTGGATCTCGGAGTCTCCCCGCCATCGACGACTCCACTCGCGGCATCGACGGATCCAGTATCTCTTACGCTGGGTCTGTCGCCAACGCCGACTGGAGAGCCATACTCGACGGTCATATCGCAAGTCATCCCATATACGCCACTCGTGCCAGAGACGACGCCACCAGCCAACATACCAGTTTGTTTCTTCCCGGAAACCCTTCGGGTCAGATCGAACGGGTCAGGCTTGCATGCCGGCGACGAATCTGCATTCCATCCCAACAGAACCATCAATTCCCCACTATAGGAGCACAACCTGTGGAAATCCCGGTCCGTCCAACTCTAATCCGTCAACTGGTGCGACTCATGTCCCGACGGAACCGTCGGTTCCTCGTTACCAAAGCAAAACTTACGGAGACGCTGATCCGTCAAGCTTCATGCAGGATGCCAGACGTAACGGGCCTAGTGTGTCATTTCTGGAACCTCAGACGCAACGCCTTGGTAGACCTGTCATTACATCAGCGCCGACATTACCTGAACGGCGCCCTGAGATAATATTCATTCCGTCACTGACCCGACCTGAAGTCACCCAAATGGTCGGACCAGCGACTTCGACTCCATTGTCAATTCACCCGGTCATAGCAGATCAAATGTCCATGATGATGGAACAAATGCGTCAGATGCAAGATAAGATCAACGGATTGCCATGGGCACCCCCACCCTTGGACAGAGCATCGAGAACGTGTTACGCAGAGTCTCCATTCAGCAGACGGATTACTGAAGCCGAGATACCCAGGAAGTTCGTCGCCCCTTCCATGAAGATGTTCGATGATACGTCCGACCCGGTGGAACATGTTGCCCAATACAAACAACACATGCTGGCCGTATCACTTCGACCAGACCAAAGGGAAGCATGCATGTGCATAGGATTTGGAGCGACACTTTCAGGACCGGCCTTAACCTGGTTCGTCAACTTGCCAAATGAGGCTATCAATTCATTTGCTGAGCTCGTCGACTTGTTTAACCAGCAATTCGCAAGTAGTCGCGTTTTGGAGAAACAAACAAGTGATCTATACAGAGTTGTTCAGCGACGAGGGGAATCATTGAGGGATTATCTTCATCGTTTCAACAAAGAGAAAGTGTCGATTCCAAGGTGTGACATACCAACGGCAATTGAGGCATTCCGAAGAGGTTTGATCGACGATTCAGAGCTATACCGTGAACTGACGAAATACCCTCTTCGATCCTTCGAAGATGTCCAAGCAAAGGCATTGGCTTTCATCCGCCTAGAAGAAGACTTACGATCCCGTCTTGGACATGTTGAGCATGATTGGGGGCACGGGAAACCAGAATCTCCTGAGAGACATGATTACAAGTCTGGGAAACCTTATTCAAGACCTGAGCAACGAGTCCCGTCATTCCATGACGAGATGAACAAGACAAGGTGATTGAAATCTCGGACGGGGGGCATATCTTCCGATGATAGACAGATTCTAAAGTGCTGCAACACGGTACCCTTAAAGTTGTTTCATTTTCAGTTTATTGCTTTCTTTTGCATATTGTCATCATTTCTATGACGAATCACTTCTGTGATGACTCACTTCTATGACGAATCACTTTCATGATGAGTCATTTCCGTGACGAGTCATTTCTGTGACGAGTCACTTCTGTGACGGGTCACTTTCGCGGTGAGCCTCATCGCGACAAGTCACTTCCATGACGAGTCACCTTGGTAACGAGACGATTTTAATCATCAGATGGGGGGCATATTGTCTGGCGATAGACGTGTTCTAATGTAAGATATGTGTTTAATTTTGTATACAAGTGCTAAATTCATTGCTTTTCTTTACCTGAAAACAATCACTAACTTAATCGTCGGAGGGCCGTTGGCTTAAGGCCAATGACCAATCCTAACGACGTTTTAAGTGCAGGAAACCAAATGAGGTGCCAGGTAAGTCTCTTTGATACGTCGCACGTCCTCGTAAGTTCAATTAGAAGTCCATGACGTATTGGGTACGATGGATCTGTCAAAGCGTCATGGTTAGTCTGTACGTCACTTTGAGGTCGTGTCTTACTTTCTAATTTGACGCCTGGCAGAACTGCAATTTTAACATGCAAATCTTATGTCATTTATAGACTTGGTATTTTGGATTGCTAAATCCTCAATAGTTAATAATCTTTGCATTTTCCTTCAAATCATTTTTGTAACTTATCTTAGCCGTGAGCTTTAGTTCAATATATTTTGGGGTCCTCCGTGGGATCATACTATTGTCATTCCGCTGAAAGAATGTTGTGACGTATTCAGTGTAAAGTAAACATTTCCGTTTCAAGATAGATTCATTGCTTTTACTGACTTAACCATTTGAGGGTCGTTGGCCTAAAGCCAACGACCAGCATTGACGGTTTTTAATGGATGCAGGACTATCTCGACGCATAAGACCAAGCAATTACTGAGGCAACTAAGATTTCAACCATGCTCTTGCCAATTACATATTACACACTAACATCAAATGGGAAAGGGCTGGGCTGCCCATGAGAAGATCATGGATAACAGTCCCAGCCGGCCCTTACAACATATATATTTTTGGCCAAAACTTACACACATATATGACAACGCACGTGCAACCAAAACATATATGACACCGCACGTGCAACCGAAACGTATATGACAACACACGTACATAAAAAAAATACAGAACTACACAACAAAAGCACACGCTCCAACATAAGGAGACAATACAAACGACAAACGTAATGCCATATTTAAAGTTTTTGCAGGATATGAACCAAGTTCACACAACACATCTCGTCATCTTCAACGATGGATGATGTTCCCGTCGCTAGATGAAGTGTCGACATCAATGTGAAAGATGTTGTAGAATTTCTGTCACCGAGTCGTCAAGACAATTTTGGAGGAGAGAAGATAACATGTCAGACTTCAGATTTTGTTGTTTTAGTTGAGGAGATGGATTCGATCAACGGTAATTCTGAAGAAAGACGGAAATGTTTCATCAACCGAAGCTGTCAACATGTCACCACAAGTCGTCGATAGACGCAGTGAACCAAGAGGTGAAGTGTTGCTCTTTCAAAATTTCGACAAGTTACCGCTTAATGATCCGACCATGCATTGTACGCGCCAACTTCTCGAAAGGGGGCAATTGTTAGTGCAATTATTTGGCAATATATTTTGCATTAAAGAGAGTTGATCACAAAAGTTAAAGAGGCTTAATGATGGCTGTTGTAACGGATTTGTGTTTATTGCTGGAGTTATCAACGATATTAAGGCTGGAGGTTACTTATTTTTGAGCTGGCCAACATTGATGACGAGTTGCGAAACCGACGACGGGTCGGAACCGTTACGTCAAACCGCCAAAACAGACAAATTGAGTCATTGAAGCGTCAAGAATATCATTTTTAAATATTGTAACGTTTTTTGTACATTATTAGGCTCCTTAATGTGATTAAGGAGGGTATTAAATGTGTTTGACCAGCCTTTATGACGGATTTGAATCCGTCGGTACGTAACGGATGGCCAATCCGTCAATAACGGAAAAAACCATCATTAGAGCTTTAATTGTTTTTCCTATAAATAGAATAGCCTCATTGTAATCAAGGCAGCTGAAACATTCGGATAACACACAAGTTTTCATTCTTATTCACTCTCTTGTCATCTCCTTCTCTATTCTTGTTCGAAGCCCTTTCTTTATACAAATTCCTTTTTAATTAGTTTTAGCTTATCAATATTTTGCTTAAACAGTATCTTAATACTAGTCGGATAAATTCCAACAACCAATTTTTTAGTTCATAGTCGTATAGACAAATTCCAAACTAATTTTCCATTTGAAAATATAGTTTCACATCAATATACAAAATATAACTTTTAATCTCTCATATACTCTTATATGAAGTTAAAATTATATTTCCACTTATAATTTATATAGTTAATTTCCTCATCGAGCCAACATGCTCATAATGCATAATCATACACAATTTATTCTTAAATTTGTATACTATGCTCCCTTTCCTTATAGACAATAGTCTTCTCATTCTTAGGCATTATTAATCATTAATAATCCTTTAAAAACGTATTTAATTACCTTAGGTAATCTCATGAAATTAACTCAAAGATTATAAGCAATATAGTCAGCCATCCTCACCTTATGAATTGTTGCAATAGTTGCCTTTGTTAAGCCCTTCGATCAATCCCCGTTCTAAACCGATTAACAGCTAAAACTGGACTGCCTGGACAAAAGCCGGGCGATGTTCGTCTGTCTGCAACGCAGGCAGCTTCTCCTTCTTCGCGGTTTCCGGTGGTTTCAACTCCTATCGATTCCACGACTCTTCTAAGTTAAATACCACCACTTTATAACATTATTCTACACTTTTAAACGTGTAGAACATCATGTTTAATCCACCATATGATTTCTTAAAAAATCATATACCATAAAACTAGTTAAAGAAGATAGGTGAGTTCTTACCTTCTTCCTTGCTAGTTTTCTCCTTGGATTTCCCCTACTCTTGCTTCCTTCAAGCTTTAGTTTGTGAAAGATGCTTCCTAGAGCTCCTCTTGCCTTTTATGGTTCGAATGGCTCTCAATGATAGGGGGGAAGGTATCTACTCTCAATCAAAGACCAAGAATGGTACTAAGAGAGGACATGGGGTGTATGGGTTTGTCTCTACCCATCCCCTCACTCACTAGTCCGCACATGCCACTCAATTCATGTTCCTCCAGCTCCCCTTTAGTCAACTAGTGCATACAAAAACGTGGGGTGGCCCCCACTCGTGTGGGAGGTCATCCCATTATGCCCCGGTGTGTACAACCGGCCCCGAAAGTTGTATTTCTCGGACTGTTTTAACTATATTTTATTTTATCGGGCCGGATAAAATATATCACACGTTTCTAATAATTGTGGGCCTTTAAAATAGATGTACATTCCCCAACATTAATTTAGTAGTCTCCGAAATTCATTTCAGGCTATTATCCGGTAAATTACTAATACCGGTAATTGGGCCTCGTTTGACCGACCGGTCAACTCCACGCCCTTTCCATGGCCCAATTTAGGATATCAACCACCATATACATATTTTCTAGACCAAGATGAATATAATATGTGGTTCTAGAATCATTGGGCGGTCCCCGTTCTCGATGTGGGTCCCACATGCAATTTACTATTCACGTAAAAGGAACGATAAAAACTTACAATTACGCAAATTCATAAATCATCTTTCCAGGTTTATTACATAATTTACTAAAAGTAAATATGCTTGGGGACGGTGCTACAAGTTCACCCCCTCTTAACAGGAATTTCGTCCCCGAAATTCACAACGCTTATACAAACAAAAACGCATATTGCTCTTTCATCAGAGCTTCCGTTTCCCAAGTTTCTTCCTTAACTCGGTCACTTTTCCAAAGGATTTTAACCATTGGAACCTTCTTGCTTCTCAACTTCTTGACTTGCCTATCAAGTATCTTCACCGGTTGCACGGCATAATTCAAGTTTTCCCGTATTTCCACGGGTGGTTTCTCCAATACATGAGACGGATCCGGTATAAACTTCTTAAGCATAGACACGTGGAATACGTTATGTATCTTCTCCAATTCTGGAGTCAACTGTAATCGGTATGCCACGGCCCCAATCCTCTCAAGAACCACGAATGGCCCTATGTATCGTGGGTTAAGTTTCCCTCGGCTCTGAAATCGGATGATTCCCTTCCAAGGTGAAACCTTCAAGAATACCTCATCTCCCACATTAAATTCCAAGGCTCTTCGGCGTTTATCGGCATAGTTCTTCTGTCTATCCTGGGCCGCCTTAAGTCTTTCTCGAATCGTCTTCACTTTTGACTTGGTGATCTCCACCAATTCCGTGCTCTCGAGCTTGGCCATGCCAACTTCGTCCCAACACAACGGTGTACGACATTTCCTCCCATACAATGCCTCGTATGGAGGCATGCCAATACTCGCCTGATAACTGTTGTTATAGGCAAACTCTACAAGTGCCAAATGGTTGTCCCAACTTCCTTGGAAGCTGCTGAGGCTACAGCGCGTGCTTTCGAGGTGTGACGGGGTGACCTCAGATTTTGGGAGCTACTGAGGCCTGAGGCTATTATCCCCTGAAGCGCCGAGGTTTTACAAAGTGGCCTCGTAATTTTGAGAATGGGCTGAAGAGCCCGTGTTTTATGAGGACTGACTAATTTGTTCCGCCTCATCTTTTTATAGAACATAAACCGGAAGGCTTGCCTCCAGGAAGGATTTTGCGTCAAAACTCCCTTCATTAAATTCAAATGGTGACCGTAAACGGTTTACAGTGTACGGTTGAAGCTTCTATCAGTGACCCCGGATTTCCGATGCCCGTGGTTGTGCAAAGTCTCCGTTTGGGAAGGAGTAGTAATTTTGGGAGTCAAATTAACTAATCATGAAAATCAAGTAAGTACTCCATATACCTAATTAATTCATACTCTAACCTATTACCCCACCTTTTAACAAAGCAATTCCCCAATTTTCTAGCATAAAATTCACACTACTACAGTAGTACTACGGTACTAGTGTACTACGGAGTACCTTTTAGGGGTCCATAACTTCTTTAATTAGTCTCCGTAAAGTCTAATTTTATATAGCAAAATAGTAACGGTTGGTGCATATATTTTTGACCTTTTAATTCGATAAAGCATAAACAGAGCTTTAATAAACAGAGCACCAAATGAATTACGAAACATCAAACATGTGCAATGAGTCACCACTCAACAGAAACCAAACTCCTGTCTCATTTTTCCTCTACACAATTTACAGAGCCTCTTCATGGTTCCCATGTAAATTGATACCCCTAAAATGGAAAAATTAATAATCCACAAACATGGGCGATTGGGCGTAATTAGAACACTGAGTCGGTATAAAGAATATTTTTGAAAAAATTACACGAAATTTTTTATACTAAAAATATAGGCTTTTCTAAAATTTGGGGTGGACGGGGATGACCTCCTAACTATGCCTTTTCTGTCCACAAGCTCAAATGGTCTCACGAAAACCATTTAATAACCAAGGGGGGTGAGGTACTCATCCTCTCTTCTCCGTCGGGAACTTGAAATCATTAAAATCACCCCTAGCCAATCAAGGAAAATGACATTCAAGACTTAAAGCTAAAAGCATCTCCTATGACTCCCATCATCTACTACGCTCAGGATAGTACTGCGTAGTATTATGTGAGGAAAAATTGAGAGGAAGAAGATAGACTTAAAACGTAGCAGAAACACTTTCTAACCTATCATATAGTCATCATTATTTCATTAATTTTTTTTTTTTCAAATTCTTAGTGTCCTCATTGCATTTTTTATATTTAGCCTCTCCCGCTACTAATTAAGTATAGAACAATCACCTTTCAGCCCGACTTGTTTAAAATACACACTTATTCGTCATTCCCTTGATATTCTCGATCAATGATTCAATGACATACGGAGTGCTTGGTACCTTACATTTGCTATATGTTGAGCCAGTGACAGACCTTGTATAGTTCCAAAGTCTCTTTTTATTTAGTCAACTTTGACTTTTTCGGTCAAAGATGATAAACTTTGATCCATTATTTTAACTGATATACTTATGTAAAAGTTAATAAATTTATACTTTTATGATAGTATTTTTAACAAAGAACATTTTCATATAAATTTCATATTATCAATATTACCGTGTATAAATATGTAATCGGTCAAAGATGAACAACTTTGACTTGAAAAACAATGTTTGGCTAAATAAAAGGGACGGAGGGAGTATGAAAACAATAAATAGTTGTATTTATAGTATATAGTTGTAAATTTCATATAAATATATGTATTCTTCTTTAAATTTTTTATTATAGAAACAATGAATACGTAAAAATTAATGAAGCTCTAAATCTATTCATTACCACTGGATCTATTGCATAATTCTCGGCAATGGCATCACTACTGGATCTATTCACCATCTATACATATTTAAATAAAATAAAATGTGTTTGGACTTTCCAAATATATCTTGTTTTATGTCAAATTAAACATAAAGTAAGTGGTAAAATATTTGTCGATCACATACCGGAAAACAATAAAACAATATATAAGACTTAAAGAAACATAAAGTCTTAACAATAATTAATTAAAGAAACACAATTGTGATCTTTTGTTTAAAGTGATCGATTTTCTTTTTGTAGAAATGTAAATCTCTTACTGGCAGAAAAAGGAAAATGAGAACGTTCTTTTCAAGAGGGAAGTAGCTTAGTACGTATCATTAGTATGTAACTTACTCCTACGTTTGTTTTATGCAATTAAGTTAGATTTTGGAATTGGGCATTATAAACATAAACAAATCAAATAAGGAGTATGATACATACTCCGTACAATTCAAATACCTTATATGTAATCAAACATTCAAACAAATTCAATTTATCTCTTCAATTGGAATCGAAGCTCCTATATCATAGAATTGAAGCAGTATAAATATGCTCAAATTCATTACTCAGCTTCGACAATTGGGGAGTGTTTATGTAAATATATGATGACGGCGATAGAATAACAAAGGAGAAACCCAAGGGATACAATAATGATCGTAAAATGGTGAGATGCGTGTAAGTACTTAACTGCAAACCAGAGAAACCCAAGGGCCTGGAAAAATAAATTCACCAGAAAGAAGAACACAGTGCAGCAATTCCAAGCGAATCGGAGCGACAAGAGGCCGCGGATCTGAGTACTGTGCACGGCGAGGCCAGAATACAAGTACGGAAAGCAAGGGGGGAGCGGATGAGGGCGTCAAAGGAAAAGTGGTATGAGCAAATAATGTCCGAATTACTACACCAAGTGGCAGAATTAACACATAGAGAACGAATACTATAAAGATAATATCCGGCCAATCTTTATTATGAGTTCGAAGAATAAGTCCAAGCAGCATCCACAGGTCCCACACCAGGGAGGCAACCACTATGCCCCCTACAACACTTGCACCAATACCCAAACAACAACGCCTTGCCCAATTCGCAGGCTCCATTTTTATTCACCAACGTGATTAGAATTTAGAAGTTATATATCGTTCGATGAAAATATATAAAATTGTCCCTAGCTAGCTAGTTAGGTACTAATTATCATTAGTAACTTGGTGTATCGTATAGCTTTTGCCCGCATCATATATACGAGGTTTAAACTGCCAAATATACCTATCTAATTAAATAAAATAAAAAAGATACGTACAAATGCCATTCACATTAATGATATATATGCCCATGCATGGAGAATATTTTGTAATACATAGCAATAATTATGTTTGTATGTAACTACGAATTAATGATCTTTTTAATCAATGGCGGAGTCAGGAGACTGAACGGTACAAATAATATTTTTGGGAAAAAATTATACGGAATTTTTGTACTAAAAATATAGACACTTCTAAATTTTGGGTTGTGTCAAGGCCAAGGTTGCGCCCCCTAGCCAAGGCCCCTGTCATTAATACAATGTTGTTAATGGATGTTTTTACTTGGATTGTAATTTGCTGGTCTGGTCTAATTTGTTCTGTCTGGTCTGGTTTCTTTGTATTTGTATAAGTATCCAATTGGAGTCTGGTCTGATCGAAGCACCGGCGCTTCCTCTTCTCGGTCAAGGTGGGGAGAAGATCCTCATATGGCCCAAATGCAGCGTGAACTGGAGGAGCACGAACGGTGATGGGAGGAGCAGCGGAAAAGAGAGGAAGAAACAAAAGCCTGGCTGGAGGAGATGGAACGGTTCATGCGTGCCGGATTCCAGCCTCCGCATCAGCCTTTTCCTACCCCGTACGTATTCCACCCTGAGCAAACTCCTCAAGTTCCGCACATGGGCGGTATGGGTTTTTTCTCCAACTCCGGATACGGTGGCATGCCTATGATCTCCCCGAATTTCGGATCTATGTCCTTTGATTTTGCGAGGTCATCCGGAGGAGGTAGTGGTACACCAAGCCATGGAGCCCGAGGAGCACCCTGAGGAGGACCCCGAGGAGTACCCCGAGGAGGAACCCGACCTGATGACCCCGTGCAGCAGCCCGAAGACCCCCCCGTGAACCCAGATGAGTTTCTTGTTGATGATGATGAAGATGAAGAAAATCCTAATTTTTTTCATAATGGAGTCCGACGATGAACGGACATGTAATCATCATACATTTATACTTTGTTGTATGTCATAACATTTAAAAGTTTGTCATAATATTTATTAAGTTTGTTGTATGTCTTTTAATTGCTTTACTCTTTAAAATGTAATTTTTTCTTTAAAAAAATTAGAATAATATTTTCAATAACAAAATTTTCAAAAAACATTTTTAAATATAATTTGTAAAAATACGCATAAAAAAAGTAAATTTTTAAAAACATTTTTTTTTAAAAAAAAACTCGAAATTTGTTTTTTAAAAAACAAAAATATTAGTCACGGCCATATCCGTGACTAGAGTTAATTCGAAAATATTATTTGTTTTTATTTAAAAACATTTTTTTTAAAAAAAAAAAAACTTAGTCACGGTCCACAAGCGTAACTAATTTCAAAAATTTCAAATTAGGCATTACAACCGCGGGCGGTCTTTTGAAAATTTGAAACTTTAGTCACGGTCCACAGCCGTGACTAATATTTATTTTAAAAAAAATAATAGTCACGGTCAACAGCCGTGACTAACACGTCGGAGTGGGGTTTCCGGCATGATAATAGTCACGGCTGATGACCGTGACTACATTTAGTCACGGTTAATGTGGCGGTGACTTCATTTAGTCACGCCCATTAAGTCACGGATTTAGTCACGGCCAGAGACCGTGACTAAATCATTTAGTCACGGAATTTTTGAACTGGTGTCCGTGACTAAATCCGTGACTACGCGCGTTTTTTTTTGTAGTGCAAGTCTGGTCTGGTCTGGACAAATTACAGTTCAAGTAAAAACATCCTTAATCCCTCCACAATTAGAGAGCCCAACATACCCTTACCTAAGTCCAAGCCTCTAACTTCAAAAGTATGCTGAATGCTAGATAAAGAGTAGAGTTTAAACTATTGAAGGTAAGTTTGTCGACCTTTTATAATGAAATAAATATGAACATTTATACTACAAGATGAGATGACAGGTGATTGGGAGTACATGGTGTGCACTGATAAGCAGTGGCAGACCCAGTTTGTGTTCCACGGGTCCCGGGAAATCACAAACTTAGAGTAACATTAGGATTAAGATTGCATTAAGGTATTTCAATTATAAATCATGTATTCAAACACTAATTTGTTTGGTTAAGTTTTCAGTTTATAATATTTCAACATTGACGTTTCAGGCTTTCGGGTGAGTATAACTTTCATATGATAATAAGCATGGAAAAATTAGGAGGTTTACACTATTTTTAGGAACCGAAAAACACCAGGAATCAAACCATTAAGATTTGATTCAGTTCCTTAACCGTGCTACAATTTAACCATTTCTGAGTAAGAACCGAATCCCTACAATTTACGGAGTATTATTTACCTTTCATAATGGGATAAGGGTCAGTTTGGTCTTCATAGTTGCAAAAAAGGGGTCAAATAAGTTCTTATATAGAAAATTTTGTCCGGACGTGCCATTTGAGGTGGCTCCCGGTGGAATTTTTTGATGAAATTTTTTGAGCATCTTATTCATTAAGTCTAGTTTACTCATACCAAATTTCAAATAAAAATTCAATCGGGAAGACATTCAAATGAATTCTTAAAGATAACTGTGCCGTTAAAAGCGTAGTTATCTTCAAGAATTCATTTGAATGTCTCCCCGATTGAATTGTTAGCTGAAATTTGGTATGAATAAACTAGACTTAATGAATAAGATGTTCAAAAAATTTCATCAAAAAATTCTATCGGGAGCCACCTCAAATGACACGTCCGGACATAATCTTCTATATAAGGACTTATTTGACCCCTTTTTTGCAACTTCGAGGACCAAACTGACCATTTACTCCTTTCATAATTCTTCATTCATTCACAACCATGGTTAGAAATAGCGGTCCGCTACCGCTATAGCGGCCGCTATATAGCGGTCGCGGTAGGGGCCGCTACCGCTATAGCCCGCTATTCGTGTGTGATTTCCAAATCACGGGAAAAATCCGCTACGCCACCCGCTACAGCCCGCTATTGACCTTTCCGGTAGTACATCACGAACTGTTTGATGTGTAAATGTGTAAATGTTGTGTGAATGATGTGAAAAAATACATTAATGGTGATGCATGGAGTGAAACTCAAAATTAAATGTTGTGTGAATGATGTGAAAAAATACATTTATGTTTTGCGCAATTAAAAATATTTCACGGCGCTACAACCGCTACAGTCGACTACAGGCCGCTACAGGCCGCTACTGCGATGACAGCTACCGCTACCGCTGCCGCTGCCGCTACCGCTGCTACTACGGCTATTTAAAACCTTGTTCACAACTTATAATGTTCAACTTTACACATAACTGAGTCTGTAACACAAGAAAGTAAAGCTTGAAAAAGCCAGATGTTGAACACCCCGCCGACATCATTGCCTACCGACTTCTCTGCCCCATTGAAACTTCATTTATTTACGCACAGACAGACAAGCAGTCTTACATGAAGAATTGGGTCGATCATTCGGTTTGGGTTTTGCTAGATTTTTCTATTTGTTTCTATTTAACTTCACTTCTATTTTCGAATTCCATTTGTTTCATTATGCAGTATATTCACTATTTTTTTATTTGAAAAAGTTGTCATCAAAATCCTTCACTTCAATTTATCCGAAAAAGTTTCATCTAATTGAGCCAAGTTTATATCAAATTGGGGCTGTGAGGATTCACCCGTGCACAAAAAAATCCATAACACACATACACGGTTACTCCATTGAAAACCCACAGCAAGAGCAGTGGGTTAAGTATTACAGCTTGGTTTATATTTGAGTGATACTCCTTCAATTGGTTCTTAAGATTAACGTGGCGGTTTACTCATTTTAGTCCTTTTAATTTTTGTCTCGTTTTTTTTAGATGATATGGAGCATCATGATGAAGGCTATGTTTTTATCCCAAGATCTTTGAGATTTGTGGAAGAAGGTTATACCAATAACCAATATAGATCTTACTCTTGAATAATCAGTATACGTTTGAAAGAAGGATACTGCAACGTTGTTTTAGACAACTTGTATTGCTAAACCCAGAAGTTCTAAAAAAGCTTGGGATGCACTGCAAAATAAGTACCAAGGTGAATCAGTTAGCTAAATCAAATTAGGACATGAAGTATTGTCTCAGGTAAACCTGCCCAACAACTCAATCCCAATTGAAAATGAAAAAGTATGTTTGAGAAGAATGTTACTCCGTATATAATTAATAGCCTGAATTGTAATTAATGCTCTATTGTGATCAGGATTTTATGTGAAGAACCCGCAATAGTAAAAGTGGTAAACTACTACGAAGTATTTAATTTGTTTGCCTACATAATGTGTTATCTATTTAGTTTCTATCCTTGAAGAGCGTTTAATTTTTCATTTCTATTATTAGGTTGCTCTTGCAAAATCTTGTTCAAATACCTCTCCTTCCCTTCAGTAGAGAGCAGCTGGTGCTCTATGGGTGGGGCATGTCTCTTTCAGAAACAAATATGTATGTTAATTTTAAAACTTTCTATTACTAAAAATGTTAGATGTTGATACCACAAACAATAATATGTTTTATTACATTACAATGATAATATGTGTGCTTTTTGATTATTAAAGAATTCATTGTGTTCATCAAGGTTTATTGGTGTTGCTCTTCCCTTGAATAAAAATTCACTAATGCATTGTGTGTGTTCTTCCTGTATAGCTACTGGAAGAGAAGGTGGCGTAGCACCACTTATAGCATTGGTTAGTATTTCATTTTGATATCTTCTCTTATCAAAATGGTGAGTTATGTTTAGATATAAATGGCCTAAAAAATGCAGATTCATTTGTGCAATGGTGAGCTGTTTTTCAGTTTAGATGAACCACTAAGATGAATCATAAAAAAACTGAATTATTCATTTCACAATATCTCTTAAATACTTAAGTACTCTCTCTGAAAGGCTTAAAGTATCGCAATATGAATACTTACCGACTTACGTACTGTAATTATTTTATTATTATAGTGAAGAATAATTCCTTTTAATTTT